GGTCAAATCATCGTAACCAAAACAGAGATCACCATTTGAAAATTTGATCGTCATCCTTGACCAATCAGTTTGCACTCTACTCATCTGGGCACCCTCGAATGATTTTCCATCTCCAAATGAAAATATGAAGGTTTGAGATAATGACGACAAATCTATGTTCAGAAAATAGTCGAAACCTAAAGGATTGTAACCGCCTATCAGAATGGACCCACCAGATGGTAGTCGAATTTTGACGATCACCAGTGTAGGCCCCTGTTTTAAGCACTTGTCGTGGTACGCCGATGATCCATCGCGTGTCATACGGTATAAGAGATTGAATGTGTAATTAGGTTTCTTTGGTGGTGGTGGTGGCGCTGTTGATTTCAATAAAAGGTTGATATCTTGATTTCGTTTCCGGAAGAAAGGAAATGAAAATCGGTAAGTGCATTTCTTCAACTTTTGTCTTTGAATTGGTCTATTGATCTTTCCGGTGTCTATCCAGTCGGCAATCCGTGACATGTGAGTGTGATTGACCAAGGTGGAGTCAGTCAGACCAACATCAAATGAATTATGTTTGGAATCTATGGTTAATGGTTGTGGGATGTCTAAATAATATCTAATGGTCTCATTGTCGATCTCCTTGAAATAAGTTAAAAATGGTACTATTTGATCTATAAAGTAATTTCTTGGGATGTGGCTAAATCTAACAAATTTTAGAAAGGAATGAATGGTTTCGTGCAATCTCTCGTAATCGAAATTAGTCCATTTTTCAATATCTTTTAATGTCATGTTCTGTTGACCAATTCCCCATTTAATTATGCAACTCCACATCATCGAGTCGTCCAACAGCTCATAGGATTTCTCCAAAATTGATGAAAGCATAGACTCTTGCAATAAGAAGATATCGACTTGTGTCACCAAGCATGACGGATCACGTCTAATCAAATTCAGGAGGTGATTTAGCAATTTTCCGAATGAAGGATTGTTGAAGCACGTGGTTATAATTGGAATTAGGTTTGGTATTAGTAAATTAGAGTCAAGATTAATGAAATAGTATTGTATCTCTTCGATGAAATCTTCGAGCATCAATTCATCGGATGCCACTAAGACGTCAAGTAGTGTTTGTACATCTAACCTTTCTAATACAAAGTTACCAAAATATAAATATCTAAGTCAAAGAAAGATACATAACAATAGAATTAGAAATGGAAGTTGGAATGCTAAATAAAAATGGCTGCAAGATTAATGATCCATACCTTAGGATGACGGTGAATACTTTAGGTGTAATATTAGGTTTGTCGAAATAAAAGACATCCCCTTGTTTCTTTGCCCATGTACTCGATAGGGCAGCCCTAAAATACGAAGATCTCATGCTCAATACTACCGAATGGGACCTAAATTTTTTCACGTTTGGTTCTTTGCCGACACTAATTACTACATCAAAATTGCTTTTGCCATACTTGACAGGTATTTTGCTGTCATTGAGTTCGATCAATCTCTCAAAAGCTATGTCATTTCTATTTATTTCTGGCAAAGGCAATGACGGCGGGGGACGAGCACTGCATATAATCTTAAAATGTCGATTGCGATCTTTTAACCTGTTTTTGTTAACTTTGTTATTAATGATTATGTAATCCTGGTAATTATGGTTGACTTTAGGTTTAGGGTCGAAGTTTGGTGTAAAGTCGAGAGTTGAATCAAAGGGCCGTGGCGGTGGTAGTGGCGGTGATGGAAGTAGCGGTAATGGTGGAGAATTAAAATCGAAATTTAATGTCGGTGGACAATCATAAATCGGTGTTGATGA